CGCGCTGGCGAAAGAATTGTCCTGCGACGTCGGCGGTGTTCAAGTAGTAGCAGGTGTGACACACTCGAGGCGGGACAGCCAACGGTCCAACGTCTCATAGCACTCGCTGCGCGACGCTTCCTTCCGACCGGTAGAGCATATGTACTTTCGTAAATGCGTTTGCATGCAGTGCCAGATGGTGCAACCTGCATGCTTATGTGTATATCAGTAGTTCGCACAAAGGAACGCGCGCAAGAGACGACTTACTTTTGACGCATCACGTCGTCCTCGTTCATCATGTCTCGCTATAATTCTCGCATGCTGTGCCGTTGTACCCTACTGCTTTTATTTGGCCTGAAATCCCCTGAAAATCGGAATGATTATTGCCTGCCTCGCGTTTCGTTCATTCGTGGCATGACCTCCTTGGATGTACTTGTGTTTGCGGACCACGAGAGAGATATATATATGGTATTGTTAATTTTATTTGACGACGCGTGTTACGTATATATATAGAAATACGGGATCGATATATTTATTCTTTTGCATTTTTCAATCATACCGTTGTGATATGTCTTTGGTACAGTTTTCGCAGCAAGTGACAAAATAATTATTGTTATCATTTTGTTTTTTTTTTCTCACCTAGATCAACCTGGCATTTCACGAATGATTTTACAGTCTGTCGCGTTGCGTTTTACATTTGGCCTTTATGACTCTATTTCGTTACAAACAAAACACGAAAATGAAGGCGAAATGCAACGCGTAAAGTGACAAGCTGCGAGGTCGCTTTGTCGAATAGGGCACAGTTATTCGCAGTCGCAGACATACTTTTCGCACGCGAATTAGTTTTCAGTCACCCTGGCATCGGTGCGTTTATGAAAAATTCCGTTTGAAAGTATAGGTATAATAAATGAGAACTTTCAGATAGCGAAGCTATCACAAACGCACGGTGTCGCAACTGAAACTGATTTGTGCGCGAAAAGGCGCTTTACTATAGATGCCTGATTCGACGGCTGATCGTACATAGGTGTTGTTCTACTAAATCTAACAATAAGTGATCAAAGACGTATTAGTGCCGGCATGTGTTCGTCATAACAATGCAACGACACTTTACATTTATATGTATCGGTTTATCGATTTAATTTCGTTATCTTTCGATTTCTTGGCAAAAAAACCTTACCAAAAGGCTGCCAAGTAGCGAGCGATGATCATATAGATAAACAAAGTTCCACGGTAAACATTGCATATTCTTCTATACCTTTATTTTTTTTACACCAGCGATGCAAACGAATACTTGTTCTACAAAATACTTGCCTGGCATTTTTTTACGTAATTAACACTCAAACATGAAAAACTCTCGTGACGAAACTCCACACAACGTTACGTTTGTCGCAAACACGACAGCATGTATGGAACGTATAAATGTAAACATTTCAAAATTTTAAATTACTTCCTTACATTACTTCCTTAAATTACATTCCTGTATTACTTACAAAGCTACACAGGTAATCAGATATCGATTGTTAGGTATGTTTTACTAATTAAAAGCTTCCAGTAGTAACATCTTTTCCTACAGCGGGATTTACATTCGAGCTTACAGCTTAGGAACGACAGAGAAAGAGAGGGAGACGTCCGGAGTGATCAAAGTCAAATGTCTCTTGTGTGCATCCCGTCTTTCGTTTGCTGCGTAGTTCTCGATTAACATCGAATTAATTTTTCCTTCCTCGTTTGTCCGTTATGCCAGCAGCTCGTCGCGCGCCTTTTCCGTCTCTCGCATTCTCGCCTTTTATTTCTTTACTTTTACGAACATTGACTACTGTCTCCCGCTCTCTTTGTCTCTCTCTTTCTTCCTCATTTGGTTTATTTCTTCCCATTTCTCTCCCTCTTTCTCTATGTATCTATCTATCTCTCACTCTCATTCTCTCTCTCTCTCTCTCTCTCTCTTTCTCTTTCTCTCTGCCTCTGGCGCAAACTAGTCGAGGCAATAAGACGAGAGTACGAGAGTACGCCACCTGTTTCCAAGTGTTATGAGACTTTCGGGCCGGTCACGCCTATGTCTCTCACGTATACTTCGTAACTACATATGTATAACACACAGCGCGGACACGAGAGCGCCGCACATTTGGAACCCTCTGCAACCTTCGCTGCACACCTCCGTTAACACCAACTTCCGCCCATCTTACCCCATCGTCACCACACTTTACTCCCGTTGGATTCCCGAGATTATGTTGTCGCGGCAAGGACGTCCTTTAACTGGCTCTTTCCACTTTGGCCACCACCAGGTCACTGCCAGCTGTCCCGGCAGGATTCTCGATTAACGCTTTGACTGGCGTATCTCGTTGCGCCACTTAAAAATGAGATTGGCGTTTGCTTTTCCGCTGGACACTCCTCCTGCTTCTTTTATTCTTGTCGAATACTACTACCAATGTCCCATTTTAATTTCGCGTCAAGAGATACACACCGACTAGAGATTCGACGTGTAACGGGAACGTTGGGGGAGACTCGTGTCTTTAAACAACAGGTAAGACCTCGAGTTTAAGATGTTGCCCACGCACAGCTGTTCTCATAACATTCAGTGAAGTCGTATTACGGGGAGCGTAATAAGTATCGATCGTCGCACAGGGTTGTAACCAGCTGTGCGCACGTATTTATCGCCGGCGTCTGAAATCTTGAGTCTGATTTATTTCCCGCGAGATATATCGTATTCCCGTGAGAGATCGCACTTAGCAATTTTTTCCTATTTATCACGTCGCGTAACCGACGCCGTGTAGCCGAGTCATTTCGGCAGCGTTGCTTTCGTTTAAACAAGTTTCAACGATCCGCCATTTTCCTTACCGCAAAAGTAGCCCGGAGTTCTTTCTTCCCCTCGAAAGCGTGTTCGATATATAATCTAATTTCTAATATTACAAACGCTCATCCGACTTTCGTCCGACATTTTATTTCTATTTCGTGAATCTTTCATGTCGCTATTAAGAAACAATTTCAGAATAATCGCGAGCTTATCGAGAATCGTTCATCCTCGTAACGTCCGCAAGGTACAATTTTTCGACAAAAAGGTTTCCATCCGCTTTGCCGTTATCTCGGTGTACCACTTACAATGGGGCCATTATCCATCGACTTTCTCCCACGTATAAGTTACCACGTAGCGCCACCGTAGCGATAGTAATACGCTTCTCTGTATGAACTACCGTAATGCCGAGTGGAACAAAGCGTAGCAGCAGCGAACGGATGGAGAAACTTAATCTTCCGGCGAACGCGTTCTGCAATGTAATGAATGCGAATAATACAGAAAGGGTAAAAGGCACTCTCTCTCTCCCACCCCCGTTGTTATCAGGTCTCTTATCGCGGTCGCCTGTAAATTAGAAACTCGCTGTATTACCGGTACGGTTACGACGTAGATTGCGCGGAGGAAAAAAATATCATAACGATACTTATTTCCGTTTCGCGTAGCGACACGTTACGACTTTTGCGAAAATCGTTGACGCTGTGGGAGAGATACCCCGTGCGAAATACCGTATATCTCTATCACTTCCGTTATTTTCACACGCGACGTAACCGTCGGCGCATTCATCTTTGATAGAGAGCGGGTGATGATCGCTTTACGCGCGCCGGTAGGAAAAATAAAACCTGCGGATGTACGTACGTTCGGAAATAAAGGACAGGATTTATTATGCAATATTTCGCATTCGTGCACGCGTACCGAGTCGGCTCCGCAACCGTATGTAAACGCCGGCGTACAAAGAGCAGTATATCACATGTTTACTGCATTTTTTTTTAACGCATCAGAAAATAATTGGAACGACGAGCGTACCCGCGAAACATCGTTCGACGCGAAACAGAAAGGGATCATCGGTTTAACATCCGTAAAAATATGTAGATAGAAACAAACACGCTGTATATCTCGCCGCATTCTCAATATCCGGTACGCTCTGGCTTCTCTCCCGACAATCGGATTTAACGCTAAAATAATTATACTCCCCTCATTTCGTTTTCATCTCGATGCGAGAAGTTAAATACGACGTGTTATCCCCGCATTTTCATATCAATTTGCCAGAAATTTATTTGCGCGCCCGCGTCGGACGTCCGTATATTTCGTCGAACTAAATTTACGGGATTGAAAGATACTTATGTATTGTACAATATATATATATATATATTTGTCGCGGTGGGCGCGTGTACACACGCGCCCTGTGTAATGACACGTCGCCCCTTCCCCCTCCTCCCTCCGCGATGCAACAATTCGCATTCATTTCGTGCCAATTTCGCCGCGTTGAATAAGATCGCACGATCGCGCGTTCGATTTGAGCTGGTTTAAAACCGTGCGGTTGTAGCGAAAGCGTAGCCGGCTATTCGTCAGTCGACCGTGCTTTCGATAGCGGCTAATCGCGGGCGAAAAGCGGGTTTGCGGTGCAAACTTTATTTCGCGCTCAACAGCCACCACAATACATCCCCCCCGATCGCACCCTCCACCACCGATAGTGGCCGTGAAAAAAAAAAGTATATAGCAGACTGCGCGTCTGCAGGGGTGTCAAACGGGAGCAGTTTTGTTTTCGGATTCGCGATCGGGCACAAACGTTCTCTCTCCGTACAAACGCTCGCAGTTATACAAGCAAATATGTGACGTTATCGTCCGCCTAATATTGTTGCGGATGAAAACGTTTGGAATCCGCTCGGTCGTACTCGCGAATGTTAAAAATTTGCTATCTGCGATAATTTGTTCTTCTCTCTGGATAAAAGTTACAAAGTAAAATTTATGATACGGAATGAAGAAATACGTCGTCGATTGGCTATCGCAACGAACATACTTGATGCTCGATGTGACGAAGGGAGACTGATCGCGAGTCAATGCGATTCGTACCGCTATCAAGCATCGACGCGCGTTTGACACCCCGATAGTTGATTCTCCTCATCTTTCGCTCTCATGTGATACTGTAACATAACGTCTGTCACTCATTACAGTCAAGTAGTTGTTTCTTTTTGTTTCTTCTATGATTTCTTATGATTTATATATGTTTTTGTTACAGGGGTCCCGCGAACATTTTCGGCTAGGCCTTACCGAGGAGGTTGGTTCGTTTGTTTGGTTTGCAATTAGGATTAGTCAGTAGATTTTTTTCTCTAAAAGCCCTAGTCCTCTCCTTTTTCTTTCTTCTTCACGCGTATAGACTTCGCTTTTACATACATAATACTCGTCTGTCTTTCCCCTGTATTCTTACTACTACTACTACTACTACTATCTCTTTATATATATTATATATATCTATCTATATCTCTGTCTTTCACTATCTACCTTTCCCTTTATTCTCTTGATGCCTCGATCGTCGCTCGACCATGCTAACACCAATCACCACCTTTGAACGTTACTAACCGTAGCATATATATCTATACATACGTACGTGCAGACTCGATCCTTGCATATGTGTACTTAGACTCACACGTATCAAGATGTATGTATACGCATATATATGGGTATGTGTATATTCGATTATATACCGATTGATTTTCGTATATCAAGCAGTGTGTGACTTCACCACCACTCCGACTCGATTGACACCGATTGACTTGTTCTCTCTTTCTCTCTCTTTGTTTGTTTCTTTTTTTTTTAATTACTTTTTTACGTTTGTCGAAGGTCCGTATCTCTAGCTTTAGTTGATCGATGTTTAGATATGTGATGATTAAGATATGTCCTTATCTGTGCGTGCCTTGTCAATGCGCGCGTCTCCCCCCCCTCTTTTTGTGTATGTACGTGTTCGTGTCGTTACGTAGGGATGACCCGCAATCCCGTCATGTTTGATCGTTCTGATTTATTGATACTCAATATTTAGCTGTAATGATGAACATTAGATAGCCGATTGGATATTTAGTCTTAATGTTTTTTCTCGAAAAACTACTGCACAATACCAGAGAGACGAATACACCTGTCCGTATGCTGCTTTGAGACCATTCCATTGATCGAACCATTACTATCACACCGATGTTTGGACTGAGATACTCGAGAAACGTGACTAACGAGCTCGCCACCTAAACATTTTTATCATAATGCATGAGAACTAATATTTTATTCATCAGGTGTCGAATGAACTAAGATGAAGCTCGGTGAGGAGGGAGGGACGGCCGTCTGCATTGCTGTCTGTTTGCGGTAAGATACGCGATCACAATAAAGTAGACAAGTTTTATTTCAATGTACGTTACGCTTCGTTAACGAATAACGAAGCGTGGCGACCTGCGTCCGATATATTCTTCTTGTTTCCTTTACGAAAATATTACTTTCACGATGATTACGGATAATTGTGTCGATAAAATGGCACGCTGTTATGAGTTGTCCGCAACTCGATGACTGCAACAAATGATAATGTTTGTTGCCATTATCTCGTGACATGGTAGAATATTTTTCATCCGACATTTTACAAATTATTACAACAGTAGCGGCGCATTGTAAATTGTTATTGCACTGCAAATTTATGTCTCTGGTACTAGACACAATTTCCACTTTCTTACAACGATCGCGCAATTTGTCTAGTAATAATCGTCTTATAATAGACGAATCGCGACCAATTGATATCTCTCTACTTGTGGCATGAAACGACCAAACGGATTAGTGGTCCAGACGCACTAAACCGATACCGCAATCTTAGAGCCACTTTCGAGACGACCGGTAAAAAGTTACGTCGCGAAGCGGATCTCGACAACGACGTGGTTTTTGCCGGATTGACGTCTCGAGTATCGAGTCTCGTCTCATGTCGTTTCGAAAGTTGAGAGCGGGATCTACGACATCCGTCGATGGCGCCGTCGATGGTGCCATCGATGGCGAGGGATGTACGCCGACGTACACTGTACATACGAAGCGTTTTCATGATGCAACCTCGAATACAGAATTTTATCGCGCGTGAAAGGCGCGAAATGCTTTATCTGTTTGGAAAAGATTCAAATTGGCATTGCGATCTCTCCTGTTCGAGGAGAGAGAGAAAGAGAGACAGAAGAGACAGGAGATTGACTGAATATGCAATTTTCACAGGTTTCTGACAGGTTTTTACTGCGTCAATCCACAGATACGTTACTCGTTAACGTCGAATTGTTATTCTAGTTAACAAAATATTGGAATTCGTTATGTGAGAAGATATAACATATGCGGCACGTCAAATAATTGAGTCTAGTTTCGCATGAATTTTGATTCGAATTTGGAGTCTGCTAATTTGCGCGATAAATTTTATTTCGCATTGCATATTGAGTAAAATATAACGCAATAAAAATTGTGATGGAATTTTTGTAACTTCGCCGGGGTATTTCATTAGTTCGCCGTTATCCGAACAAATGTTTCATCGTTGCTGAACAACTTTTGCAGCGATTTAAAATTTGTAATAACTGTGCGAGAAAGCAGATGGATCCGTCTCGCCGCCATAATAATGCCGCGACCTTATTCGGGGTCCTGAGATAACTGCACCGGGGCGCGGCGCAAAGATCAGAATAATAGTCCGTCGCATAGCGGCTGCATATTAAACGTCATTAAATTATGGGTGGCCGCCTTGGATTACCTTCCGCTTACGCTTATAAGCCGCCTCGGTTTTACGAGGTAAGACGTACGACCGCAAAGATGGAAGGGCGGAGATAAGGGGTTGAGAGGAAGGATGGCAGACATCGAGGAGGCGGATTATTCTGATACTTAAAATACGCTCCGCGGGAGCCTGATGATACTACAACTATGAGACGGATATGAATGCGTGGATTAGACTGCCACTGCAATAAATGTAAGCGCGAAACTTTTCACCGCGCTGCAATAATGACAGTGGTTTTTTATAATTAAACGAATAGATTTAATTGTCAGGACCGCAGTGACATTCCTGCATAGATACGTTTCGGAATTGGACAGGAAATTGACAGTAATTAATGCGGAATATTACTATCATACGTGAAATTAGAAGTAGCTCGTGAATAATTATATTTTATTGTACTGCGCGATGTAATCATGTTATAATTCGTTCAACTGTGTGTGTTCATATACTTTTCGGTTAATTTTGGCAAATTACCTACGGTCGCTTTTCTATTAATTTATTCATTAATTAAATCGCATGTGTGACCTAATCGAAGTGCAAATTATAATTAGACTCTTTTGTAATAGTAGATTATGATGTGGTTATCCATTATTTTGTAGCATCAAGGTATATTATAGGAATATACGATTTTTGTAGTTTTATAATACATTTTTATAACTAATCACAGTAATATTAAATTGATGATATTAATTGTGTGTGAATCTTTTTTTCAAATATCAAAAAATTTTTTAGTTATAAAAATATTTGAAACTAGCGAAATAGCAAATATAGCCAAAGTATAAAAAAATTGTTTAGAATAGAGATATAAAATGTTCCAATATGCTTTTAATGACGAGTTCTTTTGTCAATTTGGACTTTGTTAGTGAAAATATTGAAGCGTTAATTATTCAATACCATCAATTTCGACATAAACGATTGAAAAGAGAACTTTTAGGAAAAAAATTTCAAAAAGCTAAATAACAAAATTATATTTTACGGTGGAATTTTAAGTAGGATTTATTTTAGCAGAATTTTAATTTGAGGTTTAATCACGGAGATATATAATGTAAAAAATTAAAATATTACAATAAATAATGAATCTCTCTTAATGTTTTTACTGAGGAAAGATTGATTTTGCTAGTGATTCTGTCTCTGAAAGGATATCAGATGATTTTGTAAACTCGGTATACATCATCGTTAATGCACTATATCAAAGTGTATGAACTTATCGAACATCATTATTTTATTGATGTATAAGAAACTCCGTGAGAAATTTTCGTTTCTCTCAGGAAGACAATAATTTATTGAACATAGCACGTGGATACTATCGATGGTTCAGAGGTGAGGATAATTGGACCGTCTTCATCTGAGGGAGAAAAAAAACGTAACTCTTCGCAGTAAACGAAATAGCGGTAAAGTAATTTATCGACGATTTATTAATGAAACGAACGTCTTCCCTCTCGTCGTTCGTCGTGAGACGTAAGATAGGCGCCACCGGGAAGGTAAACGAGGGACGAAACGAGAAAAGAGCAGGAAATAGTACAGATTTATGCGTTCTCAAGGCGAGAGTGACGTCGAAGCGCCGACACCTGTGTCCGAATAAGCTTCGTTCGGTTCGCTTGCCGTTGGTCGGAATATCGGGGTTTGAGAAGCTACAGGTTCGTCGTACGGATCTGACATCTTCCACGGAAACTCCGGCTTCCGCGTACGGCTTCTCGTGTACGTCGTACATCGCGCAGTAACTTGCTCGATGAAAACTGCATTACCGAGTTACGAGACGGCGGCACTCAGGCTCGGACAGGTGCAGCGGCACGCATCGCGCACACACGCGACTGCGACACGTGTGCGCCCGACGGGAGCGGCTGCTCGAGCTGCTGCCTGCTCCGACGACGACGTTAAGAGCGAGGCAGGAACATCGGCAGACAACACGGCCGCATTGTTCCGGCGGGCGAAATTCACTCTCGGAGATTCTGTCAACTCCGATCATCGTCGTGCCGAGTTTGAATAATCTCTCGGCTGTGCGTTATCCCATGTACAATGCGGAGTCCATCGCGATAAGCGAGTTTAATTTACGGACGAATAACGCGCATGAAGATATTAAATTGGATTTGCGCCGGACTGCTTCCCAGTGACTTTATAATACAACAATACCTGCGGGAAAATATGTTTCTTTTAGTGGAGTAAATGTTGTAAAGTGCACAATGTCGTGTAACGAGACACAATAAACACTCATAATACGGTGCTATATAAGTTTTCAAGTTATACAAAATTTCAACGATGGACACAAAATATGTAACGTTATATAGCTAATGGAGTAATGCGCTATTGTATTAAGCTAATTTTCAAGTGTAAAACTGCAGTTGTGAACAAGTTATTTCTATTATATTAGCATATATCTATTTAAAAATTATATTTTTTTCTGAACAAAAAATAGAAAATTTGATGGAAAAAACGTCATTATTCTTGAGAATGGCGTTATTCTCAAAGAGAATCGATTATTTAATTTTCATCAATTTTACATAGAATGTCGAATGTTT